AACATTTTCTGGTGCGTACTATTAGGCCGTTTCCAAACATCTTTTGGCTCGGTACAGTGCAGACTTTCCACTTGTCGCGCTAATGAAATGCCACTGCCTGAAGCATGCATACATGAGGAGTCCGTCCATGCTTCCATTCTCAAGGCTGAAACAATGAGCGAGACAACAAAGCCAGCTTGGGACTAGCAACGCCGACGATATTCGTCGGCTTGCTTTCAACCATCAAAAAAAGGTGATCCAAGGAAGAGGCGCGAAGAGGCGAAAGGAAAAGACCAACCGACAACTATATGCTGAACTCGCGAGGAAAAAGCTAACATGACAGAAGAAATGAGATTTCGACCCACCCTCATAAAAACCACACCAAACAAAACGTGACGAGCAAAATGCGACAGTTCAAACTTGGGAGCTGCCAGATTCGTTCATTTGTCCACTGTGTTTTGCAGCATGCATGACAGAAACAAAGTAAGGAGTTGACTGAAAACAACCTCAAGAAACCTCAGACCCCGATTTGATGATGCCTTGTGGTGGGAATCCGTGGCCTTGAAATACCACCTGATCTACTCTTGCATCCGCACAAGTCGACGGGCCAGAAATCTCTCTTGATGAAACTCGGAAATTCCGGTGGCCGTGTACCATGACAAGCTGTGTTATATTTTCCATCGCTAGCCGTGTAGAAACTCTCCACAACTCTACTTTTCCAGCACGAGAGGCTGCGACGCAAAACATACTACAACTGCAATGGCATCTCAATTACGCATACATCACACGCCGATTTGAAACCGTCAGTTACGTTGCGCCGCCAATCACCACGTCCACCATCCTCTTCGCAAGTCTCGGTCGCCTTGTTCCATACTTTGCCCTCTGGAACCACAAAAGCATACACAAACCTCTTCTTGATTGGCGCGCCGTGGTGGAGTTTAGCTCTTCTCCAGTACTTTTCTACATGCGTCCATTTGACAGCCTTCTCCCCCTCTTTAGGCGGCAAGCCTGCAGATTTCACTTGAAAAAACCACAAGGTCTTGCTGCCGCTGTCTACTCCGAACGAATCGGCCGCTGCAAAATTCGGGCTTCCGGGCCTATAGTACGTCCCAGCGACGAGCGCATCGGGAAAACTGTTGCCTTCGAATGACTGCTCCTTCACAAAACTCAACCTCAAACGATTCCCCTCGAGTACAGACTTTGTGCTGCTACTTGCACGGCTCAGGATTCTCATGTCAAACCATTGCTGCTCGCTAGCGCCCCCGATCGTCTTGTGTGCAATAGTTTCAAACCCAGCCGCGCGCTCAGCTGTAACCTTGTCGCCCAATTCGTCGTGTGCGAAAGCAGCCCCGACAAAGCTTGCAAGTGGAGCAAATTCCTTTTTGGGAAGCTCTCCTAAAGTCACAATATGGGCAAACTCACTCGCAAAATCGACACTGAACTCCTCGAAACCTGTTTCAGGTATAGGCAACAAATGCAAGAGTGCGTCACCACTCCTATCGGTCGAGACCTGGTCAACGTCATCACGACTTCGCGACAGAATCTGTTGCAGCAGGTTTAGATCCATATTTGAAGCCGCTGCCTGCATTTTGAGGCAAACCTGCTTGAGCTTTTCCGCATCGAAGACTGCTCTAGCCACACCTCCAACCTTACTAAAGCGTTCCCGCACGTCGGTTTCTGGCACATGGGGGAACACAGCTTGCCGACATCTGAACAACTCATCCAAGCACCACGGAGGCATATAAAACCGACGGGAACCGGGTTGTTTCATAAACTCGTTAACCCTGCTCTTCCTGGGCGACAGCAACACAACCGTTGGAAGACCCAAAAGCTCCTTAGGCCGATCTTCCGGGTCACTCAAATACCAAGTGCTGTTACCGTACAGGTAACCAGCCCTTCTGAAAGAATAAAAATATCCTACGGTTACCCCTTCATCACTAAAGCGGAACCAGGAGTCTTTTCTTTCAAGAACAACGGTGTTTCCTTGACCGCGCAACAGGTACATAAGATAGAAACCAAACTCGGACTTGCCGATGCCGGGAGTGCCTGTCACTACAATTTTGTCCATCGTACCGTCGGTAACACCTTCCAAGATGAGCTCCGACAGGTCCTTGTAACAAGGACGGATGAACAGCTTTGATCTCAGCCGAGGCTCACCCAGGAAAAACGTCCCATCTGCAAGTTCCAGGGTGTTGTCGGCTACCACTGCTTTTGTGAGCACGGCGCCGAAATCCGCTAAAGCTTTAGGGACTGCAACGAGCAGACAACCATGTTTCGGGGGCCGCAGAAGAATGGGCATTGGGTCACACTGAGAAGAAACAATTCCGAGGCCGTCGACGAAAAGCAACCGGCGCATGGAAGGAAGACAACGCTATCGACGGACGTTCGCCTCTGACGAATCACAGAACTTCCTCTCACAACCGTATCGACGTCACCAGACATGTCTGTGGCAGACGACTAGCCAAAAAAACAACAACAAGTCAAGCTCGAAAACACACGACAGCACATCGGAAGGACGGAGTGGCCAGCGCGGTATTGGCTTTCAGCTCAGTATTTTGCCCCTTACCCTTCATAGGTACTTCTCCACAACGAAGTTTGAAACGTGCAATGTCCGTCTGGCGTATAAAACTGAAACTGGAACTCCCACGCGCCGTGTGATCAATCGACACACGCACACCATGGGGATTTCAACCTCATNTGCCCCTTACCCTTCATAGGTACTTCTCCACAACGAAGTTTGAAACGTGCAATGTCCGTCTGGCGTATAAAACTGAAACTGGAACTCCCACGCGCCGTGTGATCAAATCGACACACGCACACCATGGGGATTTCAACATCACTACTTTCGCTGGCAGACGACGAGGCCGACAAAGAACGAGGGTCAAAAACGCGACCCGCTTATCGTTGCGTGTCATCTTCACCGCTTTGCTGACAAATGACAAGACAAAAGGAGTAACGGTACGACGTGATGTAAATGCGCCGGTACCCAAACAGGGAGCTGATCACACACCTGAGTTTGGCCATCATGTAAAGTTGCCACCCAAGTCATCCAGGAAGTGCGTCGGACCATAGTGTAGTGGGCCCACATGACAAGGAACGACGACACGCGAGGCGTAGACCGCAGAGGTCAGCGGTTGGCTCATTGTTCAAAGGTCCCGCAAGTTGATGCGGCCACTGAACGACGAGTAGAAAAACACCAAGAAAAGGGGGGGGTGAAACGATTGCACCTTTTGCTCTCTCTCTTGAAGCTTACATGTAAACGCTTGACAACCAGAGCAATGACCAAGATTTCGAGTACACCGCAGTACCGCAGCAGAAACAAATCGACATATGATCAAAACACGGCGCCATCTGTGGAGGCAATGCGGCAGATATTGGGCCCATATTTCGTCGAAAAAGTCCCATGGATTGTTGCAACGGATGGGTCTTTGACGACCGCGCCGCAAAGCAAACGTCACCTAGATATGCCAAAACAAATACTAAAATATGCTGCGGACACGCTCAGGGGTATGGAGCACACACACACACAGGTGTTGGAGTACGTACGCACCAGTGTGTAGTCCGACCGAATGCGCAAGACGATTGAATAAACCTCGACCTTCCGCAATGCTACGAACACTTTTCTCCCCAACAATCACCACTGATGGAAGAGGCACGAGTAAACCCAGCTGCCACCCTCGCTAGACAGGGAATGAAAACAGAGGTCCTTCGGGATCGAATTGCAAGCGAGTATGGACACGAAGCTCTGATCCTGACTTCTGAAACATAATCGCGCCAACAAAAACACCACAGCTGGTGTACAACACGCAGCTCCTCGGTGACACAACAACAACCGGCGTACAACACATGGTTCTCATTTGCGAACTCGACGAGAAATGACGCCGACAGGTTGCGTGCGGTACAGGCATTGAGTGGGGGTCATCGTCGACGAAACACATGAAGCCAAGACGGTGAGCATCCTGACATCCTGACCAGATGAAAACGAAACACCAGCGCAGGGTCACAGACAGAGCCACACGGTCGGGGCCCTCTCCACTCAGCGCCACATGACATGACTTCTTTGATTCGTGCCTTCAATTCCATCGCGGTACGCGGTGAGCTTTCCTCCTCCCAAAATCAATGGTCACCCCTACGCAAGCCCTGATCCTAAGTTGCTAGATTGACGTCTCTTGTTCGCGGGCCTCAACTGCTGTGTGTTACAAGCTGGGCCAGCCAAGAAGTCAACGAAATGGTTAGAAGCGATTTCC